CGCCAACTGAACCGAGGCTCGAACCAGCGACCCAGCGACATGTGAAGTGACAGCACTACCTACTGCGCCACTGAGCCATAAAAACACAGATTTCCCATACTATTAATTTAAATAGAACTCAAGTCTCCAGTCAAGTCCAAGTCAAGTCCAAGTCAAGTCGAGTATTTTTTGAATATTTGTCAAAAAGTCCTAAATTTTGTGACTTAAGTCTGACTCGAGTCAAGTCATGTGACTCGAGTCCCTCATCTCTGGTAAATAGTACATTTTTGTGTGAACTACCCCTTAACTACCCTCTTAAAACAATTAAAATAATCAATGGGAAGCTCTTCCGGGAATAAAATCCCAAACAACAATAGAAGACGAATAGATTGAAGAGGGAAAGTTTCTCTGCATGTGACTCTGTGATGTGGCAGAGCAAATGTGTGACATTTAATTAGGGAACCGTGGATGGTTTTTCCTAATCGCATTCGTTCTCTTATCTGAAAGCAAAACCCTTGAATGTGTTGTTGCACTGGTTTTTACACGTCCTTCCTCTCTTTTGTCCCTCGTCCCTCCCTCTCCTTTCACAAGATGCTTTGTCATGTTTATCTGTGCTGTCACTGACTCAAAAATAATGATGCAGAGCTGCTTTACACACACACACAAATAAATACAGATACACACACACATAAGCATACCCACACACTACATACAAACACACACTCACCCACACACATTTACTATCACACACCCCTAAACACACAAACACATAAATGCACACTAAAAAATGCACACAGTACACACACACTCTACATAAACACACACATACATACACACTACACAAACTCTCACACACAAACTACAAACACACAACACAACACACACACATAAACACACACATGTTTGTTTTTGTGAAAAGTGGGGACATTACATAGGTTTCCATTCATTTTATACTGTCCAAACTGTATATTGTATTGCCCTCACCCCACCCCACCCCTAAACCCAACCATCACAGGAGACTGTGTGCAGCTTTACTCTCTGATTAAACTCATTCAGTGTGATTTATAAGCATTTTGAGAAATGAGGACGTCACCAATGTCCTCATATTTCACCTCCTTTTTGTAATACCTGTGTCATACCCATGTCATTATACAGATTTGTGTCCTGATATGTCACAAAAACACGTACACTTCATACACACACACATATATACATACACTCTACTCAAACTCACACACACAAATTACACACACACGACACAACACAAACACACATACACACACTGCATACACACATACATGTATCCACACACTACACAAACTCACACACACAAACTACAAACACACGACACAACACACATACACACACTGCATACACACATACATATATAGACACACTACTAGACATGCGCGGTTGGCGGTTATAGCCGCGGACTCCGCGGATAAACCGCGGATCGGGCGGATGACGTTACGAAAAAATAATATTTTAATTAAATTCGGGCGGGTGGCGGGCGGTTGTACTGTTTTTATAGGCATAGCTGGCGCACCAACAAAAAAGCCTAGGACTGACTTCACAGAATGGGAGGAGGAATCGGATACACTAATTCTGGATGAAGTACAAAAGTATTCCTCTACAAAACTTCCGTATAGACGGATCAGCAGAGGAAAATCTACTTCCTTTTGGTAGAAATAAGGCCAGTCATTCCCACGACTACAGCACCTTTCCAAGAGAATTCTATGCATTTCAGCAACAAGTGCTGCGAGCGAGCGCTCCTTCAGTGCAGCAGGGCGCATTATAGTGGCTATGCAGGCGCTCCCGTCTGAATCCTGACACAGATGCTATTTTATTCCTGCATTGTGCCAAGAAAAAAATCAAACTAGACCTAAAGTCAGGCATATTAAACCAATTAGCCTATGTTATTTAGGCTACATTCATATTACGTTCATATTGGTTTAGCCTATTCTATTCTAGACATGTTGGCCTCGCTTTTTTTGCGTTCCGAGGCTAAGGTTATTTTGCCAGAATTTCTTTGTCGCAACTTTAATGGCGTAGTATTTCGTTATGCTTCAAGTTTGAGGGGAATGGGGATGATCCTCCATGGGTTATTGGGGCACTTGTCATACATGCACTTTAGCCTGGTCAGACTTTATGTTCGCTCAAAGAGGGATGGCATATCTATTTTTCTAATTTAATTTCTAATTGTGGGGGTGACTGAGCCTACAAGGTTTAGGCACGATATGATGTTTTTATTAAAACTTTTTTCAACTGTTTGCCAAAGCATACGACTATAGCCTATGCCTACATTAAGATATTTATGTTAATATTTTTTTTTTACTGCCTGTTGTTTCTTTTGGCATATAAAATAGGTATTGTCTGATAGAGATATCAATAAAGGTTCATCTGTGTCGCAGAACTGGTGTTTCCGATTTTTACAAGCTCAATAACATCCACAGCAAAAAATAAAAAATAATAAATAAAAAAATAGTCGAAAAACTGTGCCCATTAATTAGATGTGCAAGGCAATCAGGTACGTTTTTGGGGTTGCTATGGACAACTACAAATGTAAACATTATTAGGCTATAATGTAAATGACTTATTATTCTATCTATTTACTAAAAAATAAAGTGAAATAGACATTTAGTAGTAGGCTAAATAGCAGCATGTTGAAATGATGTGTCAATGCGTTTTCTATTAGACTACAATAAAAAAAAGTTGTATAGTACAGTGCGTTTAATTTAGGCTATTTATTTATTTTTGTCCCTGTGCGCCGATTGGAGACAGAGTTCACTTCTGATATTCTGAGAGCTCGGGTGCTTCTCATTTCTTATTTTTGCATCCTCGTTTCCTTTCCTTGCTTTCTTTCCCGTGTTTCCACCCCACCGGGATAACGGTACGAGGGAAGGACGCAAGGAAAAGACTCAAGGACCGAGGAATCGAATCACGTGAAAAGACACGTCCTCGTATCTTTAGCGTCACTTCAAAGCGTCTTCAATTAATGACTTGCACGTTTGGATTAAATGCATGTCTACATTAAAGTCATTCTCTGTTCTATATTGATCAATAAAGAAACATTAATTTAATAATAAAAAGGAATAAGCCATTCAAATAAAGAGCCCAATCAGCAGATGGCGGGCGGGTGCGGTTTTAAAAATTGGTCAAAAATGTTAGTGCGGATGGATGGCGGACGGATGATGAATTTTGTCATGCGGTTGCGGATGAAATAATAGCCCATCCGCGCATCTCTACACACTACACAAACTCACACACACACATACAAACACACGACACAACACACATGCACACACTGCATACACACATACATATATACACACACTACACAAACTCACACATACAAACTACACACACACGACACAACACAGACACACACACACACACACACATACAAACACTTTATACACACATACATATATACACACTACACAAACTCACACACACTAACTACACACACATACACATAATACACATACTTCACATACACATTACACACAACCCCCCCACATACACATAAACACACACACACACAAACAAACTATAAAACACACTACACACACACATAATACACACATACACAAACTACACACACAGAGAGACATTACAGACAAAATACACATACACATAATACACAAAGTTAACATACACATTCACACAAACACCCAGCCCCCCCACCACACACACATAAACACACACACACACACACACACACAAACACACACACTCTATACACATAAACACACAAAAAAACTACATAAACACACACTACACACACACAAACATAATACACATACACAAACTACACACACAAACACACACACAGACATTTCAGACAAATTACACACACACTAACACACATACACATAATACACAAACTTCATTACAACATACACATTACATACAAACACCTCCCCACACACACACATATAAACACACACAAACACACACTCAACCACATAAACACACACTACACACACACATACATAATACACACATAAACAAACTACACACACACACACATTACAAACAAATTACACACACACTAACACACATACACATAAAACACAGACTTCACATACACATTACACACAAACACCCCCCCCCCGCTCACACACACCCATAAACACACAAAACACACACTCTATATAAACACTCAAACAAATGACATAAACACATCACACACACATAATACACACATACACAAACTATACACACACACAGACACACACACACACACACAGAAATACCATATGTTAGTCAACAGCTTTATGCATTCATACATTTTCCTTTGGCTTAGTCCCTTTGTTAATCAGGGGTTGCCACAGCCAAATGAACCGCCAACTTATCCAGCATATGTTTTATTCAGCAGAGGCCCTTACAGCTGCAACCCAGTTCTGGGAAACATCCATGCACACTAATTCACACACATACACTACGGCCAATTTAGTTAATTTTAAATCCCCTAAGGCGCATGTGTTTGGACTGTGGGGAAACCGGAGCACCCAGAGGAAACCCACACCAACACAGGGAAAACATGCAAACTCCACACAGAAATGCCAACTGAGCCAGCCGGGACTTAAACCAGCGACCTTCCTGCTGTGAGGCAACACTGCTACCCACTGAGCCACTGTTAAATAACTGTGTCGTCCAACAGCCTATATATTAGTTATATTATAATATATGTATATTAGTAAAATGAAATGGGAAAATATAAACAACTTTAATAGAGTCTCAATGATACTTAAATAATGCTGGTTCCCTTTTCAATCTCATGCCTGTGTTGCAGGTATATAAAATATGTAGATTTATTTATTTATTTATTTATTAGGTAGTCATTCAGCTTTTTTGTTTGGTTTTTCTTGATAATCGACATTTATCATTTAAACAATAAACCTAAAAGCACAGTCTGGTAAACCCAAAGTTAAAGTTACTTATGGATTTTAGGATTTTATGTTTGTCTCATTCATCATAACGTCTTACTGTGATGTTAATTGTGTGTTTATTGTCAGGCCACAGAATGGGGTGTTGACGAAACTACCAGGAGATCCTGCCAGAGCAAAGGAAAGACCGAGGTGAGCACTGAACGCTGGGACACAGTGTCTGGGTTATCATTTGCTTTATATAGGGTCCACATATCTCTTTATGTGATTTTTGTAAATGATTTTTGACTGTGAATCATGTTTTACTAGAATGCCCTGCTTTAAATAATAGTTAGTAGTGCTCCTATCCATGGGTATCTTCAGTAAAATTGGATTAAAAGTGGGTGGATGGATGGATAGATGGATAGATAGATAGATAGATAGATAGATAGATAGATAGATAGATAGATAGATAGATAGATAGATGGATGGATGGATGGATGGATGGATGGATGGATGGATGGATGGATGGATGGATGGGTGGGTGGGTGGGTGGGTGGGTGGGTGGGTGGGTGGGTAGGTAGATAGATAGATAGATAGATAGATAGATAGATAGATAGATAGATAGATAGATAGATAGATAGATAGATAGATAGATAGATAGATAGATAGATAGATAGATAGATAGATAGATAGATAGATAGATAGATAGATAGATAGAAAGAAGGGAAGATTGATAGATAGATAGATAGATAGATAGATAGATAGATAGATAGATAGATAGATAGATAGATAGATAGATAGATAGATAGATAGATAGATAGATAGATAGATAGATAGATAGATAGATAGATAGATAGAAGGAATGATAGATAGAAGGAATGATAGATAGATAGATAGATAGATAGATAGATAGATAGATAGATAGATAGATAGATAGATAGATAGATAGATAGATAGATAGATAGATAGATAGATAGATAGATAGATAGATAGATAGATAGATAGATAGATAGATAGATAGATAGATAGATAGATAGATAGATAATTGTGATGACAGAGGTGAGAATGGTCAGCAGGCAGGGGTAAAAACAGCTGCCAACCAGTATCATAAGGGTTAATCCATTGGAGAAATCCAAGAGTCAGGCAAAGATCAGAGAATCCAAAAGACAGTCCAAAACAAACCAGGCAGGAACAGGTTTTTAAGAAACTAGGAACAAGAAACACGCTCAGAAATGTCCATACATGAAACAAGACTTTGCACTGATGTGTGTGTGTGAAAGCGTCTTAAACTTAAAAGTGTGTAATTGGTGTGTGTAATCAAAATTCATGAAGATTAGGTGTGAGGTGCTGAGGATTATGGGACATGTAGTCAGGTTTAGTGGTAGATGTGATGTGTTGAGTGCCCTCTAGTTTCTAGTGACCATGACAATTTGTTGTCTTTCTCTCAGGACGAGTGCCAGAATTATGTGCGAGTCCTCCTGCTGAACGGCAGTCGTTTGTTCACCTGCGGTACGAACGCCTTCATGCCCGTCTGTGTGACGCGTCCCGTGACGGACATCAGCAGCGTTCTGGACTCCATCAGCGGTGTGGCTCGCTGTCCCTACGATCCTCGACACAACTCCACAGCCATGATCACAGAGAGCGGAGAGGTGTACGCCGCCACTGTGACCGATTTCTCTAGCCGGGACCCCATCATTTACCGCAGCCTGGGGAACATGCCGCCTCTGCGCACCGCACAGTACAACTCTAAATGGCTCAACGGTACAGCAAACAACAACAATTTAGTTTATACAATTCACCAATAGCCCATGTCTTTGGAGTATGGGGAAAACCGGAGCACCCGGAGGAAACCCACGCCAACATGGGGAGAACATGCAACCTCCACATAAGAAATGCCAACTGACCCAGCCAGGATTCAAACCAGCATCCTTCTTGCTTTGAGGCGACAGTGCTAACCACTGAGCCACTGTGTCGTTTCTTTTTAACATGTGTCTATTAGTTGAAACAATATATTATTATATACCAGTATACATAACAGCATATATTATATAACAGTATATTACAAGTCTGTGAAACTGATTTCATCCTCCTTTTTCTCTGTGCAGATCCTCACTTCATCTCGGCGTATGAGGTGAGCCGTTTCACATACGTGTTTCTGCGAGAGAACGCAGTGGAGCAGGATTGTGGGAAGACGGTTTTCTCTCGCGTGGCTCGCGTGTGTCAGAACGATATCGGCGGTCGCTTCCTTCTGGAAGACACGTGGACCACATTCATGAAGGCCCGGCTAAACTGCTCACGATCTGGAGACGTTCCCTTCTACTACCATGAGCTGCAGAGCACTTTCTATTTGCCCGAACAAGACCTCATCTACGGGGTCTTCACCACCAATGTGTGAGTGCATCAATAAATCAACTGCAGTCGCTTCAGTCAACCACGTGCTTTATGTTAAAGGGCCACAAGATCCCCATTTCAGCAGGGTGTTTTCACACCTTGAGTTTGAAAAAAGTCAGGAAAGTGGGCATGTCCAGCTCTGTTTAGGGGGGAGTGTCGGAGGAGGGAAAGAGTGATCAAAATTTGCATAAAAATGGGAGTTTCGATTTGGGCACACTCTGATTTTCACAGAGGCAAAACAAACACATATGCAGGGCAGAAAGACAGTGGCTGTGTTTACATGGATATCAGTAATCAAATTATTTGACAAATGATTAAATGGTTTGATGCCGCACGGCGAATGAGAGAAAAGAAACCTCCGCATTTCTCTGTAACTTAGGCCGTACTCACACTATGTACAGTTGCCTCAAACGGGGCCAAAGCACGCTTTTTCCCCCACCCGTCTCCCCCGACGGCCCGCACTCACACTACAATTAGGCCTGGGCACGCTTACGTCATCGATGCTGCGCTCTTCAGTGAGCGCTCTCGCTCTGCACAGTGGAGATTTCTATAGTTATATCGTTTCAGTCGTTTGTTATGCAGTGACATGCAGTCAGATATTTCGCCGAACAGATCTGCCACTTTTGGCGCTCATAAACAATCATAACGCTCTCGTGCTGCAGGAATGAGGAGGTCTGCTCAGACTGCTCAGCTGTCGTGCAGTGAGGGGTTTGCTTCTTTAATAATTTACGGCAGTTTGCGTTCATTGAACAGTAAGAATGATTAATAAATCCATATGAAACAATCCCTTTAAAGTCACGTCTCGCTTTCAGTTTCGGGCTTTGGTGCGTTTTGCACTCACACTACAAACGTACCGCGCCAAAGCCCAAGTGAACCGCGCTCAGGCACACCTCTTTCAACCGGGCCAGGGCCGGCCAAGTGCCAAGTGAACTGGGCACGGTTCGGATAGCATGGTGTGAGTAGGCCGTTAGATGCACTCGATAGTGTCAGAAAGCTTTGTGAGTTATTCCTGTCACAAAATGCGGCGAAAATCCTACACGACGGTAATAGTTTGATTGTGCTGTTTACATGTTTACACTCGGAGAGCAGCATTTATAGTGGATCTTTCAGTCTATAATATTGTAGTGATATTAATGTACTGTACACTTTAGTATTTGACTAAGGTCTGTCTTTAAACACTGAAAGAGTACTACTGACGATACAAACTAACTTTGCCATCTGAATAAACAAACAAAGACACTGATCGCTCGCTTACCAAATCTGTAGAGACAGGACAATCAACACCAACTGGAGCCGTGTCTTTATTAAGAGGAGACGAGCAGCAAATCCGTATTTCACCATTTCCAGATGAGAAAAGCTCTCGGGTAAACAATGTTCTATAGACAGGTGTTTTTGTCGAGCGTTGCGTGCACTGTAATCCACACGTGAGTCCAGCTGCGCTCTCATAGAGAGAGAATCAAAACAAAACCTTCACTGCAGCAAATTATAAAAGCAACACTGACAAGCCGTATCTTCAAACAATTCTTCTTCTCCCACTTGTTTTGGCAACACAACGTGGCGTCTCTCTGCCGTCTTCAAAGCTATCATGCATATTAAAGTTGCACCTCATTCACAAGAGAGCACGCTGATTGGTTTGAGCCAAGTCTTACTCATGAATGAATGCAGCACACTTAGAGACGTCACGAAGTACTCCCAGGTACAGACAGCCAGTCTACATGCTCTAATACACACAAGGATCTAATCGCCTTGACGCAGCTTCAAAAATTTGTTTCAACCCGAAAGAACGAATTTGCTGGAAATAACATAAAGCCAACCAATTTTCACTTTTTTTTTGTGAAATATATGCATCCTAATAGTCTTTTTAGCACACATAAATGACTGTCAACAGCTCAAAACATGTGTTTTGGTGTTTCGTGAACCTTTAAAGGAACACTGTATTTTTGAGGAGGTGAAATGCTCAGTCCCCTAGACTTAAACAATCGAGTTTTAGCATTTTTTAACCCATTCAGCCACTATCCAGGATTGTAGCTTAGCATAGATAATTGAATCGGATTAGACCATTAGCATCTCGCTCAAAAATGTTCAAAGATTTTGGATAACTTTCCTATTTAAAGCTTGACTCTTCTGTAGCTACATTGTGTTCTAAGTCTGACAGAAAATGAAAAGTTGCTACTTTCTAGGCTGATATGGATCATTACAATCAAGAAACAGCAGGAGCAATGATAATACACATAAGAATGAGAGTATAGTTCATAGCCAAATCAAAACGATCAAAATCAAAATCTTTTGTAACATTATAGGGATCTTTATACCGTTACTTTTGATCAATTAATGCATTGTTAATTAATTAATTAATCATTATTAATAATTCCTACACACTGTAGACTTCTAAATGGTAGAGTAACAGTTTCAAAATTCAGCCTTTGGCGTTACATTATTAATTTGCATTTCAGTAAAGTCAATGTGAACTGGAAGTATAGTGATAGTGGTGGCACAGTGGCTTAGTGGTTAGCACTTTCACCTCACAGCAAGAAGGTTGCTAGACAGAGTACCGGCTAGGCTAGTTTGCATTTCTGTGAGGAGTTTGCATGTTCTCCCCATGTTGGCATGGGTTTCCCTCACAGTTCAAACACTTGCGCTATAAGGGAATTGGATGAACTAAATTGGCTGTAGTGTGTGAATGTTTGTGTGAATGAGAGAGTGTAGGGTTGTTTCCCAGTACTAGGTTGCGGCTGGAAGGGCATCCGCTGCGTAAAACATATGCTGGAATAGTTGGCGGTTCACTCCGCTGTGGCAACCCCTGATAAATAAGGCGAAGGAAAATGAATGCATGAATAAATTGATACTGTACATTCATTATAAAACAATAATCACTGCTTTAAGTTTTGCAGTGCAATTATCTGTATAAAAACACAGACCACGGCCATTCTTTGGGCACATGAATTCAGTTTTGGTGATCATCAGATCCTTTCAAACACATTCAAATGTCTTACAGACCTGTCTTTATTTTTATTATTTAACACCGCCTTCACATCTCTGTTCTTTCTCTTCACAGGAACAGTATTGCTGCGTCAGCCGTGTGTGCGTTTAACCTCAGTGCCATCACTCAGGCCTTTAACGGGCCTTTCCGCTATCAGGAGAACCCTCGCACCAGCTGGCTGTCCACTCCAAACCCCGTCCCAAACTTCCAGGTGAGCCAATTGAACTCTGTTTTGAAGCATTTTCTTTGAAGTCCGTTTTATAGAAGACTGAATGAAGTCCGTATGAATCAGAAGCTGTGGCTGCTTTATTTTTCATATTGTGATGCAGAGAAACAGAATTTTAAAGGGCACCTATGGTAAAAAATCTACTTTTCAAGCTGTTTGGACAGATCTGTGTGTTGGTATAGTGTATAAACCGTCATACTGGGGTGATATGAACACACCCAGTCCTTTTATTCAATTTAACTACAAAAAAAAGGGTCGGCCAATTTGAGCTGTTTTCAAATCGATCGCACCATTACGTAGGTGTGCGGTCCCCCCGCCCACCGAATTGATTGACAGCTGCGCGCATTAACATGTTCCGGTAGTCGCGTATATATGTCAACAAGACCAGGCAGACATACGCAAAGCAACCGGGAATAAAAGGTCTGTCCTGTTCGCTAGGATCAGCAACCATCATCAAATGTGATTAAGAGTAAGTTTCACATGTTTAAAGTGTTTTAAAACAGTGCACGTGTGTAATTAATTACAGCGATTTACTTCAGCTTTACTTCATTAGCACAGCCGCGTGTCTGAACAATTATAAAAGAAGACGCTTCAATCCCGGTTTGTGGAAGTTAAATCAGGTTTATTTTGTACATTAGCATAACAGATATCCACACAGTACTTGAGGTTAGCCTTAACTAAGCTAAGCGCGCTCTGTCTGTCTGCCTGCCTGCGAGTGCGTGTGTATCTGTGTGTGTGTGTGTATGTGTGTGTGTGCGCGCGTGTGTGTGTTAACTTTGTAACGATATTGTGTGACTCATCAATGCAACTTCACAATACTGATTAGTAAAGGTTAGTTCTTACTGTAGTATTTCTCACAAACGCTACGTGAGACCTCCTTCCTTTAAGTCTGTCTGTTGTTTGATGCAGCCGAGGGAGGAGATTAAAGCAAGCGGGAAGGCACGTAGAAACAGTAGGCGGGCAGAACTCACCTTAAAAGCGCAGTACAACAAAACCACCCTCTGCTGGAAATCAGTATAAAACAGCATCTTGTAAAAGGTATAATGAAAAATCTGATGGGTGTTTTGATCTGAAACTTTATATACACATTCTAGAGACGCAAAAGACTTATATTAAATCTGAAAAAAGGGGTAACCTAGGTGCCCTTTAAATGATATTAAAACAGTGGGCGTGGCTTGTTTTTTCTACTGCAAGCTGTTTGGATGTCGTAAAGTAGGCGTTTCATTCAGAAAGATCGGTTTGGGGAGAGATATTACAACCTAACAGACTCCTCCTGCTCCTGACAGCTGGAGGGACGTGGTTAAGTATGTTAGCCACGCCCAATACCTCAGACCGACCTAATCTGAGAATTTAACTCAAAATAAACAGTGCATTTTCAGATTTTTCTTTTAGATTACAAGAGCGAACACATTTTTATTCTTAATGATATTCACGAATAAATTGTTCACCACAAAACCAGCAAAGTGAGGTAACAAAATCAATATGGTTAGTTTTGATTTCATTTTTATTTTAATGTCCTGTATCTCTGTTAGTGCGGGACGGTGAATGATTCGGGGCCGGGTGCTAATCTGACAGAGCGCAGTCTTCAAGACGCCCAGCGGCTCTTTCTGATGAGCGACGTGGTTCAGCCCATCTCCACAGACCCGCTGGTCATGCAGGACAACATCCGCTTCTCCAAACTGGCGGTGGACATCGTTCAGGGCAGAGACACGCTTTACCACGTCATGTACATCGGCACAGGTCAGAGAGCACTAGAAAAAAGGGGGAAATAAAATGATGTCATCATTCACTAATCCTTGTTCAAAACCTATTTGAGCTTTTTTTTCTTCTGTTGCTCACAAATGGAGATATTTTGAAGAATGCTGGTAGCCGGCACCCATTGACTTTCATATAATAATTGTTTTTTAAAATTGTTACTACACTGAAAAAAAATATCCATTGGATTTATTGAATTTTGTAAGTGGTTGCAAACAACATATGTGGGCTGAATTTAAGCCAACAAATTACGTTTATTATTGTTTAACTTAATTTGTTTGAATATCTTTATTTATTATATTATTATTATAATTCTTGGTGTGAATTGCCCTTTAATAGTGCACTGTGATTGTCTGTTTTTAATTGTAAGTGTTTTCTTTCATTGATCACTCAGAATATGGCACCATCATCAAGGCCTTGTCCACTAATAATAAGAGTCTGCGTGGATGTTATTTGGAGGAGATGAACATTCTGCCGGGAAACAAGCAGGAGCCCATCCTGAACCTGCAGATTCTGCACAGCGATAGATCTCTGTTTGTGGGGCTTCCCAGCAGAGTGTTGAAGATCCCTTTGGAAAGATGCTCTAACTACATCACTGAACAGTAAGTCACACACATTAATTAAAAATGAACTCACTTTACACTCAGAAAATGTTGAAATGCTGGTATTTTTCACAAACAATTGAATTAACAAGCGGAAAAAATGAAAATTATCATGATATTTATATTTTATGATAACATACTCATTAACATTTGGGCTTTTGCCTCTTCCTGCACATTATGGCGTTCATGTTTTGTTGTATCGTAATATTTAGTATTCTTGGGCAAATAACAAAAATAAAATACATGAATTTCCTTAAAAACAAAATAAAAACTAAAAAAATTAAATATGCTAATCTTATGCAAAATCTCCCAAAAAATATTGTTGTTGTTTTTTTTACATTTACTTACTAAACCTAATTATTTTTATTCCTTATATAAGTCAATTAGACTCATTTATTATGAGACATATTTGCTGACTAGATGGATGGTATTTAGTTTGTTTTAAAAATATGTTTAAAAAACTATGCTCAACAAAGATGCATTTATCTGATCAAAAACTACAGTAAAACAACAGTTTTATATCTGAACATGTTTAAAAATATATATTTACAGATTATATACGGCACCAAGTTGTGAATTCTGTGCATTTTTACACAAATAATGTTTATTTATATTTAATATCTATTACTCCAGTGTTCAGTGTCACAGTTTTCTTCAGTAATCATTATATTATGCAGATTATTAATTAAAATATGACATAATTTACTGTTATTTTATCTCCTTCTTTTATTATTATTATTGCGGTTGTTTTTTATTTATTTATATTATGTTTCTTTTATTAAAATTACACACATGATTTCAAACTTTTACAACAAGAGAAGAGAAAATAGTACAAATAAATAATTCATAAAATTACGATGATGATGACATGATGATGGATTTTATTATTATTATTATTATTATTATTATTACTATTATTATTGTTATTATTAATTGACTAAATTATATATATATATATATATATATATATATATATATATATATATATATATATATATATATATAATTTTTTTTTTTACTTTTGCAACAAGAAAAAGAGAAGAGAAAATAGTTAAATAAATAAATATTAAAATAAGGATGATAACGATATGATGATTATTATCATTACTATTATTATTAATAATAATATTATTAATATTATTAATAATATTAATAATAAAATTAATTAATATTATTAATAATAAAATATATTTTTTAGTTAAAATCCTTTTTTTATTTTGCAACAAGAACCAGTAATGGTTATTTATTATTATTATTATTAATAGTAGTAGTAGAAGTAGTAGTTGTAACAATTTTGAAAACAATTGCACTGTTTAATTTTTTTATATAATGCATTTTGATTATTTGATCAATAGAAACTTTGTTACATTATAAATTACTGACAATTTTGGATAATTCTAGTTCATTTTAGCTAAATAAAATGTAATTATGTAAACATTTTACTGACCCTAATTTTATTTAAATTATTATAAGAATATTATTTTTTTTATTTGATTTACTTTCAACTCCCACACTGAGAAAGCATTAACTTAATAAAACTCTAAGCCAACAGACTCATGATGTGAGGCCATCCTGACCTGAATATGACTGAACTGTGAGATTCACACAGTATTAATTCTTAGGAAGTTTTTGCAACACTTTAGTTTAAGAGACAATTCACACCATTTACTACTGGCACATTAACTATATTTACTGTTTATTAGCACTTAAAGTGTATAATCTCATTCTAGCTAATCCAACCCAATACCTCAACCCAACTACTACCTTACTAACTAATAATAAGCATAATAATAATAGTGTACTGAGCTAAAAGTTTTAGGTAATGGTTTGTTAACAGCATGAATTATACATTAAAATACAGATTGACCGAAGTTTCTCCTTGCTAAATTCTCATAGCTCATTTGCCATTATTTTGCAGTCATCTCACACACACACACACACACACACACACACACACACACACACACACACACACACACACACACACACACACACACACACACGTGGCTAATAGTTGCTAATGCGTTTGGAGTCAGACAGGAAGTGCAGCTCAAGGAGACGAAGTGAACGACTGTACTTATGAGCAGTCAGAGATATTATTAATATTATTATCTCATAAATCCTCCAGCACTGGCCGCGAGGCGGACTAATGACGAAGTAGGTCATTTTAAAAAATCGTCCCGTCGCGTTCTCCGCCACTGCTATTAATAGAACGCTAATAAAGTGTCGAGCGTCATTAAAAATATATAATGCATGCATCACACCACACAGGAAATGGCTGAATTTACATTACAAATGTAATTAGATATTACATCCTTAAAGTAATAGCCTGCTTCCACACTCTATGTGGATGAATTGGGCTTCTGTGCTGGATTTGTAAAAGCTTTTGTGCAATTTATTTTACCATTTTCAACCAAAATTTTGGGCCATAATGATTTTAATCATTTCTATTAACTCATTTTTTTGGTCTTTGCTATGATGACAGTGTATTATATTTTGCTTAGTTGTTTTGCTAGATACTAGTATTCAGCTCAAAGTATCATTTAAAGGATTAATAAGGTTATTTAGGCAAGTCATTGGACAACAGTGGTTTGCTCCGTAGCCAATAGAGGAAATTATTTTATAAAGGGGTCTAATAATATCGACCGTAGCATTTTTTACATTCTGTATGCGTTCAATTATTGTATTATATTAAAGTTGACTTATGGTAACCTTTGGTTTGGCCAGCCATGCCATCTGAAAAGGGAAAAGGATGAGGAGTTGTTGGGGGTGAATGTCTTCGACAGAGACTTCATATCGCATTGAATGTAATCTTTGTTTCTTTGCTTAATTGAGAAGCTACAAAAAAGGCAACTAAAGTTAAATGTTGTAAATGAATCAAACTTTTAAAATGTAAATACTGTCACTTGACAGATGCACAAGACATTGGCGAACAAATCAAGGTAAAGGCTTTAAAGGTAAAAGCTCGACTAGTGTATTCCACATTGAACTGCATTAAAAATGGGATTATTTATGTTTTTACTATAATAAGTTTATCATAAAACATTTTAAACGAAACTGCATCATTATTTAATATGTTTTAAAGCAACGTTTTCTATATATTTTCAAATAATACGCAAGAAATTACACATGGCAAATTTATGCAATGTGTTTTGGTATCTTTAACTTCGGCCCACAGCCCTTTATCAAGCTTGGTTTTTGTCCCTTTATAAGAAAAAGTTTGGGCACCCCTGCTTTAGCCAAACTAACTAAAAACTAAAATAGCTTTCAGAAATAGTATGCTTGAGTTCAATATAATGTACTTTTTATGAATGTCAATAGAGTTCAGCTGAATGAAAAAGTGCATTTCAAAATGCATTTTGTAACTGTTACAACTTACATATAAATACAGATAAACTAACATGGAAGTAGAGAACAGAACTACAAAAATAGAGAAAAAAAGGTCATATGATAATAGTAATAACCGAAAAATATGGAAAATTTAATGTTGAACGTTGCGTAGTTACATTTACTACACTGAAATATAATTATATCTATTTAATGATTGTTGAATTGTTGAGTGGGAAAAAAGCCCACTTATTATAAAAAGAGAGAAAAAAGGTCATATAATAGTAGCAACAACTGAATAATACAGCAGGGTAAAGAAAAACGTAATGTTGATCTTTGAATAGTTACTTTATATTTACTAAACTGAAATTTAAGTATATCTATTTTAGGATTTTTGATTCTCAGAGTCAACAAACAGTGGAAAAAACTACACTTACTACAAAACGAGAGAAAAAAGGTAGTGTTTTCAAAAGCAGTCAAGAAAAAGGAAAAGCCATCATGCCCACATGATTTCACCAGATTTTCAGCCTTTTGTTTATTTATTTATTTACTTTTGGACTTGAACCCTATGGTCGCGTTCTAAGTTCCAAGTTTGCCGACGTACGTGGCGAGCTACTGGGCATACTGGTAATACTGGAAAAACCATCCACACGGAGGTAAGCGGTCAGCAGTAGCACTAAAAGAAACAGAAGCTCTCAAAGGCGTCATATCGACCCATATCGGACGTTTAAAGATGAAATAGCCAGACGTGCCTCTGGCTACATAATTCACGCTCTCCAGAAATGTAGACAGGAGTACGTATCCTCAATGAGCCTGTGTTGACTTGATCAGAATCTGACTCATATTAAAACTAATTGAAACTGTCCATTATGAGCATGGGGATTTACATTTCTGACCCATACGTGATGTAATCAGCCAATCCCAACACACTCTGGTCAGCTGACAGATCAGAGCTCTCTAAAGTTTTCAGTACACACAGAGAATAGAGGTGCTGCAATAATGTACAGTATGTGAGAAATAATGTGATTGTTGAACGTTCAGGCATGTTAAACAACTCATTAATCAAAATAATGACCTTAAAATAGCACCATATGGCCTCAATAGGGAAGTTTGAAAAAGAGCTTGATTTTTCATCCCGCGTGTCAGATCTGCACGATTCAAGTGTGCCTGTAATTACTTTAGAGGTAAAAGAGAGGACTTTATGTGAGGAACGTGATGCTTTGGAGGCTCTCCTTAAATTCCTGCTGCACATGTTGTTGTAGAAACACACACATTTGATGTTACGGGACGTGCCGGAGCTGTGTTTATGAAGCCGCTCAGTGTTTAGCATGCCGTGCAATGGAGAGAAGTAAATTCATTACAAATTCCTCCCCATGCACACGTACACACAGGTGGAAAAAGGTCAGTCTTACAAAATCGTTGCAAATGACGCTAATTATTTTATCCCAGCTCTCATCTATAGAGTCTGATTGCATTGAAAGTGTTTAGTCGTGACGTTATAATTTTATATAACCTTTAATGCATGTAAATGTATTCTCTGTATGCCTTTTAGCATCTCCAGTACATTATGTGCAGTTGGCTCATGTTTGGTAAAAAGATGTTCAGGTTTATAAGTGGGATGCTGGAAAACATGTTAATATTCGTTTTGGGGTAAACGATTGTATATGCTATTATTGTAAAGTTTAGGGATGTAATATTTTTATTGCTATTTAATAAATCTTTTTAAAAAAATTTGTGAAAAACACAGAAAAAAACATAAAATTTAGAATAAGAATTTAAGTCAAGCCATCACACCCCACAGAAATAAATAAATAAATGAAAAGTACAACTCTGAAATAAAATGTAATTAAATAAATAAGGAGTAAGTATAATAAATAAATGAACACATGAATGACATGAATAAATCAATAAAAAATAAAGGTACAACTCTGAAATAAAACATAATTAAATAAATAAAGAGTAAATAAAAATAAATAAATAAATAATGGAAAAGTGCAGCTCTGAAATAAAACTAAAGTAAATAATAAAAATAATAAAATAAAAAAGGAGTAAATAAAAATAAATAAAACACAAAGTACAACTCTGAAATAAAATGAAATTAAAAAATATTGAGTAAATAATAAATAAATAAACAAACAAATAAATAATGGAAAAGTACAACTAAATAAAACGTAAAGTACAACTCTGAAATAAAACGTAATTAAATAAATGAGTAAATGAAAATTAAAAATAAATAAATAAAATAATATGAACTAAAATCTAGTAACTAAAATAAAGATAAATACTTAAATAGATGAGTCTGTAAGGTAAAAAAAAAAATTATATATATATATATATATAGGTGCATTTATTTGATAAAACCGTACAGTAACATATTATGTGACATATTATCAAAATTTAAAATAACTACTTTATATTTTAAAACATTTCAAGGTGTAATTTATTCCTGTGCCGAAGAGCTGAATTTTGTAATTTTTTGTGTAAACCATGATTCATTCGTGTCTTAATTTTTTAAATAATTTATTTAAAGCATAAACAACAGCCATCAACGACAGAGATGGAAAGGAAGAAGGAAAACAAAATAGAGAATACAAAATACAACCTGTTTAGGTACACACTCAGAGGTACATCTAAAACACTGTAAGTAAACAGGAAAAAAATTAATAAAAACTTTTGATCAATTTAATGCATCTTTCCTGAGAGCAAGATTTAGCATCATTCTAAAAAAAGTCTTTATGTCCTTCTTAACATTGACACATCATTAAGACAATAAAACACGCTTCTGAATTAATAACACAGTCTCACACCACTGAAGCTGAAAAGGACACAAGGAGAAAATGATAAGTCTGTTAGGCTCTAATAAATCACCGCAGGTGCTGTCAGATATTGTTTATCTCCCAGTGCAGGATTTGATGCTAGTGTCTTTGCTATAGTTACATATACTATAACAGCCAGATCATATCATGTGCTGATCAGATGCTTAGATTATATTTACTTTTCTCACACTTACATATTTACTACACTGTTGAAGTGAAAATGATTTGCCTTCCTGTGAATTGGTTTTTCTTTTTCAAATATTTCCCAAATGATGTTTAACAGATTCAGGAATTTTTCACAGTATTTCCTATAATATTTTTTCTTCTGGAGAAAGTCTTATTTGTTTTATTTCAGCTAGAATAAAAGCAGTTTTAAATTTTTAAAAAAACATTTTAAGGTCAATATTTTTAGCCCGTTTAAGCTGTATTTTGTTCGACTGTCTACTACAGAACAAACCATCATTATACAATATCTTGCCTAATTACCCTAACCTGCCTAAATAACCTAGTTAAGCCTTTATATGTCATTTCATACTGAAAATGACACGTCTTGCACATCTCTTTCTCTTTTAAATCCACAACACACTATTCCCAGTTTTATGGTGGTGTTTATGAAGATGTCTTCATTGACCTTATGTGTCGTTGTGTTTCTGCAGGGATTGTCTGGGTGCCAGGGATCCGTACTGCGGCTGGGACCGTAAAGAGAAGCGCTGCACCACCATTGAGGACAGCTCCAACATGAGCCAATGGAGCCAGGACATCACAAAGTGCCCTGTAAGACACACTTCTAGAACATTCCTCATGTTTGAGCTTCTCTATTCTATTCTATTCTATTCTATTCTATTCTATTCTATTCTATTCTACTCTATTCTATTCTACCCAATTCAACTCGTTGACGTATGGGTACACCCCAGATCTGTTGTGAATTATTTGTGATGTTGAGTTTTGATCCGGAATCTGCAGAAAAAAACATAAAATTTAGAATAAGTGTTTACATAAACCCAAGTCAAGCCATCACACCCCACAGAAATAAATAAATGAATAAATAAATGAAAAGTACAACTCTGAAATAAAATGTAATTAAACAAATAAGGAGTAAATAAAAATAATAAATAAATACATGAATTACATGAATAAACAAATAAATAAAAAAGCTACAACTCTGAAATAATACACAATTAAATAAACAAGGAGTAAATATAATTAAATAAAATAAATAGATAAATAAACGAATGAATAATGGAAAAGTACAACTCTGAAATAAAACTAAAGTAAATAAATAAGGAGTACATATGAATAAGTAAATACATGAATGAATGAATGAATGAATGAATGAATGAATGAATGAATAAATAAATAAATAAATAAATAAATAAATAAATAAATAAATAAATAAACAAATAAAAAAAGTACAACTCTGAAATAAAAAGTAATTAAATAAATAAGGAGTACATATAAAAAAATAAATACATGAATAAACTCTGACATAAAACTGAAATAAATAAATAAATAAATAAGGAGTAAATATAAATAAATAATGGAGAAGTAGAACTCTGTAATAAAACTAAAGGACATAAATAAGAGTAAATTTAAATAAATAAATAAACAATTAAATAATGGAAAAGTGCAACTCTGAAATTAAACTAAATTAAATAAATAAGTAGTAAATAAAAATAAATAAATAAAACGTAAAGTACAACTCTGAAATAAAATGTAATTAAACAAATAAGGAGTAAGTATAAATAAATAAATGGAAAAGTACCCTGAATCTCCATCTGACAGTGTCAATTACATGCTGGTGTTCTGCACGACGGCTGGCCAATGTCACTCCTGTTCCCTCTCGACACTTCATTAGCTCCATAATTAGACATCACAGATTTCTTATTATCTCCGATGGCTGATACATCTTCAGATGATAATAAACAAACCTTTGGCTTCATTAAAAGTTGCATACTTGCACTGGCCCTAAAACTACTTATTAAAATGCACATAGGCTAAAATCTCTGTTTCCATAATAACAACTTTAGTGTGATAGTGAATAAAATTTTCCCCACAAATATTTGCAGAATATCTTTTGGCTGCAGTGTAAAAATCACTCCCAGATTTGCTTTATTTGTCCCATCAGGCTTGTTAAACAACATTATAAGAGTACCTCCCATTGAGTGTGTATGTCTAAATATTTGAAGACAAATAGGATTGATATTTTGTGAGGTTTTGGTCACAGCATTAGTATATGGTAAATATTACGTCTTTACTATTTGTAGCTCATAATGGAAAATACTAATAATGTATTGTATGTACACTCACCGGCCAGTTTATTAGGTACAACTTACTAGTATGGGTTGGACCCCTTTTGCCTTCAGAACTGCCTTAATCCTTCGTGGCATAGATTCAACAAGCTACTGAAATATTACTCTGAGATTTTGCTCCATATTGACATGATAGAGTCACACATTTGCTGCAGATTTGTCGGCTGCACATCCATGATGAAAATCTCCTGTTCCACCACATCCCAAAGGTGCTCTATTGGATTAAGATCTGGTGACTGTGAAGGCCATTTGAGTACAGTGAACTCATTGTTTCATGAAATCTGTTTGAGATGATTCGCGCTTTATGACATGGTGTGTTATCTTGCTGGAAGTAGCCATCAGAAGATGGGTACACTGTGGTCATAAAGGGATGTACATGGTTAGCAACAATACGTAGGTAGGCTGTGGTGTTGACACGATGCTCAATTGGTACTAACATCCCCCACACCATTACACCACTGCCAGCCTGAACTGTTGATACAAGGCAGGATGCACTGTTCTTCCCAATTCTGATGCTCAGTTTAAACTGCAGCAGATCATCTTGACCATCTCTACATGCCTAAAGTTGCTGGCATGTGATTGGCTGATTAGAAATTTGTGTTAACGAGCAAATTGACAGGTGTACCTAATAAAGTGGCTGGTGAGTGTATGTAGACTGCAACATTAATTAATATCATTGTTGTAAATTATTGTTCATTATTGTGTTGTTATTATTTTGCTTTATTACAGTTTTTGAACGTTATTAATATATTTTAACTCACTGTTTACTATATTTTATTCATAATTATTTTAATTATTTAAAATGATTAAATTTATAATTATTATTTATGTTATAATTATTAACTTTTTAAAATATGCTAAATATTTTAAAATTTATTTTACATGTTTTTTTTTACTCTTTAGAACATTGCCTTTGCAATGTTGCATAATAAATTAAAATAAAAAATTAATAAAAAAAAGATAAATAAATAGACAGACAGACAGACAGACAGACAGACAGACAGACAGACAGACAGACAGACAGACAGACTGACAGGCAGGCAGGCAGACAGACAGACAGACAGACAGACAGACAGACAGGCAGACAGACAGACAGACAGACAGACAGACAGACAGACAGACAGACTGACAGGCAGGCAGGCAGACAGACAGACAGACAGGCAGGCAGGCAGACAGATAGATAGATACATACATACATACATAAATAATATTAAGATATCCAGTTATTTACTAAAATCTGTTTAAGATCAATAAAGCTAAATATTTTATGAGTATATTTGTAACATGCATTATTGTTTATTGGAAAAACAACAGCTAAGTACTAGAAGTGTGTGATATTGACAGAAAAGTGATGTTTACTTTTTATTATTATTATTTATTCAGTATTTGGCTGTTTTTGTGCTTGTATCTTAGCTGGTTTAGAAAGATCAGTAATTGGAGGAAAGTTCTGATTAATTATAATAATAATTCAGTCAGAAGCCCTCTTTTAACTTTCATAATTCTATGAATAATAGGGTCAATCTGACTCCATAGAGCTGCTGATTCCCTGAACTTTCTCCTCATTGATAGTCTGACGTTGAGGATCTGAGCCCTGTAGGACATCAGAGACGGTGAAGGAGAGCAGTATTATATAAATTCATACCACTGCTAACCGATAAGCATTGCATTTAACATTTTTTAACATGCAGCAGAGAAAAGACCTCTGAACTTTTCGGATTTTAATGTTGAAGTTGATGCAGGTTTGAAATTTTCATTGCAGTAGGTGTTAATAGTAACATTTGAGCATGTCTGTGGTCTGAACTTTGTTAAATGGCTCTGGGTCCAGGTCAGTTTTACTGACTCTGACTCACAGTGAATGAAGGTATTCCCTTTGATGGACACCACCAACACCTGCTCTCTAAAGATTAGCCATGCATGGAGATCAATTTGAGGCTGTTTTTATCCTCAGCACCTTTGCAATATGTGAACCTCCAAGTGCTCAGAAGGGAGGAATATTTTAAATTATTGTGGCTACCACTGCTTTAATAAATTATTAGGTTGCTTTAGAGTTCAATGTCTACAGGGAAATGTGAGTCTGACTTTCAAAACTTGACTTTTTGTCATTAAGAAAGACTCAATAATTTGATATTTTTTTTAATCATAAAAGTTCATTCATTTTCTTTTCAGCTTAGTCCTTTTATTTATCTGGGGTAACCACAGCGGAATGAACCGTCAACTTATCCAGCATATGTTTTATGCAGCGGATGCCCTACCATCTGCAACTCATCACTGGGAAACACCCATACACTCTCATTCACACTACGGACAATTAAGCTCACCAAATTCTCCTATAGGGCATGTCTTTGGACTTCTGGGGGAAACCGGAGCACCTGGAGGAAACCCATGCTAACACAGGGAGAACATGAAAACTCCACACAGAAATGCCAACTGACCGAGCCAAGGCTCGAACCAGCGACCTTCTTGCTGTGAGGCGACAGTGCTAACCACTGTGCCACACAAATCATAAAAGTAGACAGACATCATGAAACTATCACCATTGTCTGTGAAAATTAGCGAATGGCGATGCGGTGGTGCAGTAGGTAGCGCCGTCACCTCACAGCAAGAAGGTCGCTGGTTCAAGCCTCGGCTGGGTCAGTTGGTGTTTCTGTGTGGAGTGTGCATGTTCTCCCCGCGTTCACATGGGTTTCCTCCGGGTGCTCCGGAGCAAAGCACACCCCAAAAATATCAATGAAGTGGCTTCACAGCAGCTCTGTGAATGTCCTTGAGTGGCACAGCCAGAGCCCAGACCTAAATCCTATTGAACATCTCTGGAGAGATCTGAAAATGGCTGTACACCATCGCTTCCCATCCAACCTGATAGAGCTTTAGAGGTACTGCAAAGAGGAATGGGCAGAAATTCCCAAAGACAGGTGTGCAAAGCTTCTGACTGATCATATTCTGATCATATTTAAAAAGACTTGAGGCTGTAATCGCTGCCAAAGGTGCATCAACAAAGTATTGAGCAAAGGCTGTGAATACTGATGTACATCTGATCTCTCAGCTTTTTTATTTGTAATAAATTTGCAGCAATTTCAAAAAACCTTTTTTCACATTGTCATTATGGGGGATTGTGTGTAGAATGTTGAGAAAATAAATGAATTTAATCTGTTTTGGAATAAGGCTGTAACATAAGAAAATGAAGAAAAAGTGAAGCGCTATGAATACTTTCCAGATGCACTGTATATGAAATCACTTTAGGAAATTAAATTTAATTTCACACTGACAGTAAAATTAATCATCTTATGGAGAACATCGCTGGAGAATATCAAATTATCCAGCTTTTATTCTCGTCCTATATATCAGAATGAAAAGAGGGGCTTCTTAATATTTCAACCCAGGCTCAATCTGAAAACGTAGTCCAGCGGACGTTTCTGGAGACCGCGAAATACGTCCTGGGAGGTACATATTTGTGCAGTTTTTGTTTTCGCGAATCCGTGAGAGGCCGCTGTGTGCGCTTTTTTGTATCTCGAACGACTCTCGCGAGTGCCGTTCGCGCCCGCGCTGTTCTTGCGTCAACCCACCAGAGGCCGCTGTCTGACTGACCGAATGATTGACTGCGCGACCGGCCAATCGGCTGACCCACCCTCCTCCTTCCCTGAACCCAACCAGTTTTACCGATTGACCCGCCCGCCGCTCACTTCCCTAAACCCGAGCAACAATTTAGAAAAGCCGTCTAGAAAAAGAAAAACCCTCGTCTGTTTTTTTTTACCACGTTTTCAGATTACACCACGTTCTCACCCTGTTATGAACTCATTCGCTTTATTTTTTTATTAACCCGGACGCCTTTGTCAACTCCTCCTCTCTGCATCTGAAGTCCGCCAACGCACACGATGAGCTGACCGGACAAACTGATTGCGGCGGGAAAGCCCTCCACACGGAGGTAAGCGGTCAGCCGGCAAGCGCAATAGGGAATGGCGTCACACCGCCCCGTAGCGTTTGCTTAAAAAAATGAAATGCAGCCGTACGTACCTCCCAGGACGTATTTCGCGGTCTCCAGAAACGTCCACGGGACTACGTTTTCAGAATGAGCTTGGGGTGCAATATTTAATTTGCTTTATTTTAATAGGATATTATTCCTAATAGAATGTTTAAACTCATAACACGATTGTTGAACATGGCTCCATCCAATGTTTACATTTCTGTTCTGAAAATATATTCAAATTAGTACATATTTGCACATTTAAAGAAACTGAACTTGATTAATCTGATAGCAAAGTTTGGTGATGTCAGTTCAGCTGTATTATCTATGCGTTTATATGTGCAGGAGAGGAACCTCACTCAAGATGGCGGCTTTAGTGATTGGTCAACATGGCAGGCTTGTAACCATGATGACGGAGGGGAAGGCATCAGCACATGCCAGTGTCGCACCCGGGCCTGCGATCACCCTCGACCCCAGTGTGGAGGACTAAAGTGTGTCGGGGCTAATATAGAGGTGGCCAACTGCTCCAGGTACACGTCACTTACTGTAATACATATACTGTATGGTTTTAAACCTTTATGAGTTTCTTTCTTCTGCCGAACACAAAAGAAGATATTTTGAAGAATGCTGATTGATGGCACCAATTGACTTCTATAGTGGAAAAAATATATATATTATGGAAGTCAATGGCTGCCAGCTACCAGCTTTTCTTCTTAAGTATCTTCTTTTGTTGCTCATCAGAACTCAAAAATGTTTTGAACAAATGAAGGGTGATTAAATTAATTTTTATTTTTCATAGCTCAGACCTGAAGCTTTTCTGAGAATTTGCAATATTCTGGTGTTAAACTGCGTTGCTTTAATGCACTCCTGCATTGGACTCACACATACACTCTGCACTCTTTAGCCCATTATTAATTCTGTTTATTTACTTGACTAAATGTGTAAATCTGAATTTGTTCTGTTTTTGTTCAGTAATTTATTACTATTTATTTAATATATTAAGGTTTTAGTTATGATACTCCGCTGGATACTCCCATAATAATTCCGCAGAAATTGTCATGACTGTTCACAGACTTTGAAAATTAACTACAGCGCCCAAAAGACTACAAGTTCATGCATACCATGCGCATTACACCCAGTCCACGTACACTGATTGGCTCACAGCTGTTCCTGTTTCCTGTTGATTTCCTGGACTATTTATACAACCATTTCACCTCTGTTTGTCACTGCGTCGTTTGTCTATCTTGTCAGCTTGTCAGGTATGTTGTTTTTGATCTCGCTCTTGTATCTTGCTTAAGTCTAGTTCGTGTTTAATCTGTTTTGTTGTTTGTATGTTATTTTGTTACTTTGGATTTTGGATTTTGTTCACTGTTACCGCACTATTTAATATTAAATCTGCATTTGGATCCGCACCTTTTTGTTTTTGTTCTGTTTTGATCACGCCAAACGTGACAGAAACCTGCAGATTTTTACCAAAATTCTCAGCATAAATAGCAAAAAACGTCCGCAGATTCCGTCTGGCCTTGGTCATCGGACCAACCAGCACAGATTAGCATCACGCCAAGGAGGGGTTTAGGAACAAATGAATCGCAGAACAAATCATATGGGAGTCGGTGGGATAATTAGGTAAAAATAAATGCATATTATAAGACAATGAAAGTGTTTTTTTGAGTTGTCGTAGACCCCTAAAACCAAAATATGACCTTTTTTGATGCATAATAGGGGCTCTTTAAGCTAAAGTAACACAACAACTATAGTAATTTAAACAAATGACCAAATACTGTACTACTCTACAACTATAGGGTATATCATACTACAATACATCACAGTTTACTGTAGTAAAAACTAAATTAGCCTATTACAGTTTATCACTTCACTATAAGCAGTTCTACAGTATGCCGTAGAATTTTAACAACATTTTGTAAATATATACAGTATAATGCACTTTAATGCAGTATGAATCAAAAACTATAGTATTAATTTACTATGAATTACTATAGTATTGTTCAAAATAAAAGAGTTTGATGCATTCTCATTTACTGCAATAAACAAACTTGCTCTCAAACCTTTGACCGGTATTATATAAGAAAGCTGTTCTTCATTCAAAACACTATTATATAAGACTTGTGTTTCATTTGGGTATGATGATGATGATGCTTCTACGCCATTTTTCAAGTTTGACAGCATCTCTCTGTCACTGTCACTGCACCCCACATGTGTTTGTATGCATGTGAGAGAGAGTAAATGATGAATCCGAGACTTCCCATGATGAAGTGGCAGGTGTAAACAGTGTGGCTAGACTGATATACGAGAGCCACAGCGATCAGCCTAAAGTCTTCAATCACGGCCAATCAAAATGTCAAAGCACATAAAAGTGTGACGCTTTTATTTCGTCTGATTCAGCCTTTCCGTGAGAGAAAGCCACCGCACAGCGCTAACATCTGCAGTCCTTGAGTCCATCAATCCCGCAACACTGATGTGTGTACCACGTGGCTTCCCTCATTAACCCTTGTGTACTGTTCAGATTGACTACTCTTTTTATATGTTGGTGGCTGTTTTTCCCTCGTTGGCTTCTATTATAATCACATTTTCTGATTATAGTTCACATTGTCTGCAAAGACATGACACCATATTATCAAGCATTCTTGATTGTTGATGTTTTTCCCTGTTGGGAAGAGGTAAAATGCGTCATTTTTAGGGATGTAATGGATCACAGTGGCGACGCAGTGGCACAGTAGGTAGTGCTGTCGTCTCACAGTAAGAAGGTCGGTGGTTCGAGCCTCGGCTCAGTTGGCGTTTCTGTGTGGAGTTTGCATGTTCTCTGCGTTCGCGTGAGTTTCCTCCAGGTTATCCGATTTCCCCCACAGTCCAAAGACATGCGGTACAGGTAAATTGGATTGGTAAAATTTCCAAGTGGTGCTCGCTGCAGAGCCATTTGGGCGAGCTGAGCTCCAGCGAGGGGGAGCTTGAGCTCCACCTTTTTTGCACTTCTTCTACGAGTGCTGTCACTGGGGGTAGGGTTAGTGGTGGGGTTGGTGTACGCATTAAAACAGCTTACAGGAGGCAGAGCGAGAGCTCATGCTCCCCCTCGCTGGAGCTCAGCTCTGCTCAAATGGCTCTGCAGCGAGCACCCTCTCAAAATTTCTGTAGTGTATGAGTGTGTGTGTGAATGATTGTGTGTGGATGTTTTCCAGAGATGGGTTGCGGCTGGAAGGGCATCCGCTGCATAAAAAACGTGCTGGATAAGTTGGCGGTTCATTCCGCTGTGGCGACCCCGGATTAATAAAGGGCCCAAGCAGAAAATAAAATGAATGAATGGATCACGTGGATTGGATTGGATTGAATGGATTGATCCGTGATTCGTTCGGATCACCACCCACGGTTCAGAACACACGTGAGCTGTTTACTAAATTTGTAACGATCACAGAGAGATCGCCTCTCACATCATTCAAATCACATGTATGAAAGCATTTAGGCTTTCCTGTAAGTTGTGGGAGGTTATTCGGGATGTCCTGGGTTTCTTAGGTTATTAAGGGGTCAAAAAGTAATATTATATGTAATATTATACATGTATATTATATGTAATATTATTAATTATTATATGTAAAGTAATATTTTCTGTCTTTTAGTAGATATATTATATGAGAGACTTGTTAACCAAATAAAGTGGATTTAATAAATACAAGTAAAAATGTATTATTTTTTATTTATTTAGTTGTGATACTCCCAAAATCATTCCGCATAAATCTGCAGATTTTTTTACAAAATTCTGCGCAGAAATAGCAAAAAATGTCCGCAGATTCCATCTGGCCCTACTTAAAAAAACAAAATGAAGAAATCTAACGTTATAACACTATTGTACAACCCATATTTATTTTTTTTTGTCTCATTTCCAATAAATGATTCAGTGATTCACTCATAAAACGTCATGTTTCATTGCTAGATGATCATTGTTGAAGAATTATTCAGTGGCATATTTCTGATGGCTGGTTGACGACACTTACTGGTTAAATAATGTAATTGCCTCAACTTTCATTTTTAAGCATTGTTAAATGCATATAACTACGATTTTTATCTTTACCATAAACATCAGTGGTTTTATCTAAACTACAAACTATTCTCCCAGTACTTCTGTGATATTTAATCTTTGTAAACTAAAGACTGAATCTCTTTCTTGATTTTTTGCATTTTGTAAACAGATTTGAATGCAGCGATTCGAAGGATTAATAAACATATCCAAATCACCATCATTTACGTGGGTGTTGAGATCCTGATCTTTTAATGATTAATCATGCAGCTTGCACTGAATGCATTAATGCAGGTTAAACAAGTAGTGACAGAAAACACCTTTAATAACCTAAGAAACCCTCCACATGTTGAATAACCCACCACAGACTTCTTCCGTCAAAATGAAAAGAAAGTGAATGAATGAATGGTCGAATTTTTGAAAAATTTCAATGTGTCAAAATAAGATTTGTCACCAAAAATCATTTCATTTGCTGAAACAGAGAAAGTTGTGGCCAAATTAAGACTCATATTCACCCCCGAATGTATGAAAACATCCCTGACAGCACATAATCGGTTAACCGCAGTCCGCTGACGCAGCGCTTCTCACCCTTTGCATGTCCTATTATCCTGCAGTCACTTTCTGTCACTGAATGAATGTTCCAATTATTTCTTCACCTAGAGAGCTTGTTTAAACACACACATCTCCGGTCTGGGTACAAGAAACTAACAGGACATAATGCTTCTGTGCAACAAAAGAAGAGCCGGGTCTATAATGCATGACATACAGCTTGAGTAATGAGCTGCTAATTCATCTTTGTCAGAATGCTACTGTTGCCTTTAATAAAACTGATGCTACTGAAGCGCTCTGAAGTTGTGAACACCATCCTGCGAAGTCATTATTGGGCTCTTAGATTGAGTTGCCTGACTTCATGTAGCTCCAGAGGGCCTGTCATGGTTATTAAAGGGAAAAAGTTGCTGGAACTTTGCAAACTTTGCAATGGTGCAAAGCTCGCTACGCTGTTCCCAGATGTCCCTACACTACCCCTTATGTTATTTTAAACCAGTGTGATTTTGTTTCATAATAATTGGGCTTTTGGACCCATAAAATAAAATAAAATAAAATAAAATAGTGCAATCAAATTATTAATCCTAATTAATCACATTCAAGATTAAAGTTTGTATTTACATAATATATACCTGTGTATTGTGCATATTTATTTATATATGTATAAATACACACACACTGTACAAAAAATACAAAAATATTCAAAAGAAATATATTTACATATATATTTAAACTAGTATAACTGATATTTATATATATATATATATATATATATATATATATATATGTATATAAATGTAAATATATTTCTTTTGAATATTTTTGTATTTTTTGTACAGTGTGTGTATTTTATGCGAAATAGTCACGAACATATTTATATACACAAAAATATACACAGTACGAAAAAAAATATCTTGTAAATATGAACTTTTTTTAGGTGCAATTAATTATGATTAATCATTTGACAGCGCTAAAAAATTATTTAAACGAAATGAAATAAAATCAAAAAACATTACTTAAACATTTATTTTAATTAAAGTTTTTTGGAAAACTAGCTGAAATAAGTTTACATTTAAAACTAGACTAAAATTAAATGTACATAAAGATATTTAAAAACTGATCAAAATGTTAAAAAGTGCAAAAAAAATTATAAAGTATATTTTATAATAATAAATAAAAACATTTTAAATATAATAATAATAATAATAATAATAATAAAAAAGCTCAACTTAGTGCCTAAACACGCTGTTACGAATTCACTGTGAACCACCTTTTGGGGCTTTTTTTATACAAATTATACCAAAATATCTCTAGAAAATGGGCAAAAATATCTATAAAAAAAAATGTTTCACACACTCAAAAAAAAAGTGTTTTCAAACCAATGTATGTAATGTATTTCAAACCAATCAATGTAGTGACTCATCTGAATTACATCATCATTAATCTGCAGTCTGCATCTTGCTCACGCGGCTGCGAGAAAATAGATAAAAAGAGCAGAGCTGCGGCAAAATAATGAATAAAATAGTGAGGCTATGGTCAAATAAATAAATGGAAAAAAGTGCAACTGCAATTCTCCTGGTCCCCCCTATTAGCCAATCCGGGCCTGTTTCAAACTATTTGTTGTAAATAAGCTAAAACACAAGCTAGAACACAATTCTTGAAGTATTAACTTAAATGTTTTATGTTCCATCCACTTAAATCTGTAAACACTAAGAAGTCAACTTATTTTTCTTCCTGTTGTCTCAACACAAACTGTGTGGGACCCAGAAGAAAAAAAAGTAACAAATGGTATTACAATAATCTGCACTTTAACGTTAATACCCTGCAGGCACAGGACATGACGTCTTACTGATGTTGTACCCCACTGTACCCCAACGTTGTGGGGATGTTGGATTTTGTTTAGAAATGAAAATCAGGTTGACATCAGAACCCAATGTCAGGTTGACGTCAATGTCCAGTTTCCAAGCTAAAATCAACCAAATATCAAAGTCTTATCTTGGCATTACATCTTGGCATTGTGTGGACGTTACCACTATGACATCTATCAGACATTGGATTTTGGTCACTTTCCAACACAACCTAAAGTCAACCAAATATCAACGTAAGTTGACATCATTATTGGAAGTCAAAATAACGTTGTCCTTAGATTCTAGCTAGGCATTGAATTTTGGTCACCTGACATCATGACCTAAATCTAACCTAGGTAAATTGATCAATTGATAAGTAAGTGGTGATGTAAGAGGTGTTATTGTGTGTGTTTGTTTAGGAATGGAGGCTGGACACCCTGGTCATCCTGGGCCGAGTGCAGCACCAGCTGTGGGATTGGGTTTGAGGTCCGTCAGCGATCCTGTAACAATCCTTCACCTCGACACGGAGGACGCGTGTGTGTAGGCCAGGCCCGAGAGGAGAGGTGAGACCTCAAAACAGAACTATCCCTTTAAGAGTCTTTCATTTAGGAGTAGAACTACAGTACATTGGCTGCTTTTATAAATCATCTTGACAACAGATTGTGCTTTATTGGTTTGTTTTGATGTCAAATGATTCAGTTCTCTAAAAACAACTCCTTTGAGTCTTTAGTTCGAAGTCGGACTAACTTGGTGAACTTTATATCGATGTACAGTCAATATAAAATATCAAATATAAATCAGCCCTCCTGTTAAATTTGTATTCTTTTATATTTTTTCCCCAAGTTCTGTTTAATAGGAATATATTTTTTATGCATTTCTAAAAAAAAAAATTACTTAAGGGGGCTAATAATACTGACCTTAAAATGTTTTTTAAAACTGCTTTTATTCCCACCAAAATAAGACTTTCTCTAGAAGAAAAACAAATCTGAAATACAGTCTTGATTTCAGTAAATATCACTTGAGAACTATTTGAAAAAGAATAAATATATTTCACAGTTATCATAGTAATATCCACTAATAACTGAATAAGCCCTCAACTATATATGGTAAACTTATTCATTCATGCCAACTGACCCCAGGGGTCAAACCAGCGATCTTCTTGCTGTGAGACGACAGTGCTAACCACTGAGCCACCTTGTCACCCCTATATGGTAAACTTTATATTTTATTTGATTCAAGAAGTAGTACCAACCCTTTCAGAGTCATTCATTTGGTTGCTAACTAAATATTCATTATAATAGACGAATTACCAACCCACGTCACACATGACTTCACACGGGTTCCCGGTTGCAAAAAGAGACCGGTTGGAATAGCAAACATGTCGTGTGGTACGGTAGGATGCTACATTCAAAACTTAACTTTTACTCTACATCACACTGCTTTTTATGCCAACCGCATACTTTTATGAAATGATATTATTAAGGAGTCTGAATGTGCAAATATAAAACCAACTTTACCTATATGTGTAGGTTCACATACGTGTAAGGTCCCATTTCGTCTTATCCAGTATCCAGTATTCATCTATAACAAACTAAACATAATAACCAATAATCCTATTATAAGTGTTTAAGATTAATCCTGTTACCTTTTCAATCACTCTGAATAAAGTCTATTTAAATAAAACTGTCAGGGTTCAGGAAGGATGAGGGAGCGAGGACTCAAGTGCAAACAGGATGATTTATTGATAATAAAAATAAAACAAAATTAGAACAAAAACCACCCCGAGGGGGAAAAACATAACTATGACACTAACAAACAAACAAACTTGGCTGGCATGACAAGAGCAGGAACACATGGGGAGTTTAGACGACGAACTGGCACAGGACTCAAAACATGAGGGGATTTTAAAGCAAAAGTAAATTGACAAACAGGTGAACATGACAAACTAATTAACAGACAGGCGAAAATAATAATTACAAACAGGATAACAAGGTGGGTGGGACAGGACAATAGACGGGAGAGCGCATGACAGAGACAAGACAAGCCATGCGCTCACATACACAGGACAAGAACATGCAGCCAATGAGAGAACTCATTAACCGCATGTTCATGACAACACAAACACAACACTGAAGCACACGACAAAAGCACGTGACCACAATGTAAACACCAAGGCACGTGCTTTGACAAGAGACGTAAGACACGAGCACATGATGAATGAAAACACTCACCGTGCGCTCACACACGTAGCGTGCATGCTTCATCCTAGCGCCGACCAATACCGAAACCAACAAGACTGAGACGCTGGGAATGAAACACCACGCTGCTGACAGACGAACACAAACACGAGTACAAGAGCGCACGCGTCTGAGCGACGCAGAGCGCGCGCGCGGCCGCATCAAGCAGGAGCGTACACGTGCGTACTGCCACGACGGTGCGCGCGCACACAGAGACAGAAACAGGACCAGACATGGGTAGTGTCCGAGCTCTGCCACCAAAACAAGAATTTACAAGACCAGAGTGGCAAAACCCTGACAAAAACAACTAATAAAAATAGAATAGGGGTTGCTTTTTTGCTTTGTTTTGATTTCAGTTCTCTAAAAACAACTCCTATGAGTCTTTAGATTAGAGTCGAGCTAACTTAGTTAACTTATTTGATTTAATTGAAGACATATTGCAAACTCTCAATCATCATTCATTTGATGGTTTCTAACTAAATAACAAAGTAAACTTAATAACCAATAATCATCTTATAAGTGTATCAGATTAATCCTCTATGTGTGTCACATTTTAAAACACTTTGGGTAAAATCTATTTAGAAAAGAAACACATAAGAATAGAACAGGGTTGCTTTTGTTAGAAGCACTTGCTAAATTAATAACAACAATTAATTAATTTTAAAATCTGACTGGAAAGTTTCATTTGTGTGTGATTCAGACTGTGTAATGAGAAGAATCCATGTCCTGTCCCGATGTCCTGGGTCTCCTGGAGCGCCTGGTCCAAATGTAGCGTGGCCTGCGGTGGTGGAGTCCAATCCCGCGTTCGAACCTGCGAGAATGGCAACACGTGTCCTGGATGCCCTCTGGTATGGTCTTCAAATGGTCATATTAAAGGGATAGTTCACCTAAAAATGAAAAATCCTAATCATTTGCTCTCCCTTTACTTGTTTGAAACCTTTATGAGTTTTTACTTTATTTAAACACAAAAAGAAGAAAGCTGGAAACCAGACTTCCATACTATTTCAATATATCTTCTATTGCACTGTGCAGAATAACAAATGATCAAGGAACCATTTGAGGGTCAGTAAATAGTGAGTTTTCATTTTAGGGTGAACTATCCCTTTAAATCAGCAAAAGCCCTAATTCCCCCAGAGGCTTCATTTGTCAAGTGTGTGTTGCTGCATCTAGGAGTACAGAGCGTGTAATTTGGACTCGTGTGCTGAAGTGAGGCGAACGACACCGTGGACCCCCTGGTATCCTGTTAATGTGACCCAGCTGGGAGCGCGGCAGGAGCAGAGGGTCCGATATACCTGTAGAGCTCTGCTGGCAGACCCTCATGACTTACAGCTCGGCAAACGCAAGATAGAGACACGCCTCTGTCCCACCACTGACGGAGCTGCTGCCTGCGAGACTGATGGTACACACACATAAACCTGTACAGCTATCTTTATGGGGACTTCCCATAGACTACATGGTTTTTATACTGTAACTCTACTCTGTAACCCAACTCTACCCCTATACCCAACCCTCACAGGAATATATTTGCATTTTTACATTTTCAAAATACTTCATTCTGTTTGATTTATGAGCGTTTTCCTCATGGGGAACAAATAAATGTCCCCACAAGGTCAGAAATGACAGGTATTGTTATACAATATAAAGATTACAAGACATACACACACACCACAGCCACAGAGTTAATCTGTTGCCCACTGAAGTGCCTCATAGAGCACTGCATGATTTCGGGGGAATTGTTTGTTTGTTTGTTTGTTTGTAGTAAATAAATAAATAAATTAAGTTATATAAAGTTAGAAATTAGTAATTAAGTAAATTAGTTTGTCATAGTTTTGTGATTATACATTATTATGACTATGTGATATTACTACTAGTAATTATTCTTATTATATTTTTTATAATTTTTTATTGTTTTTACTGTATTATTATTATTATTATTTTTATTTTATTTTTTTTTTGTTTTTACTATTATTATATAATAAATATATTACTGTAATATTATTAAAATATATTATATTATAATATATATATATATATTTTATATTTATTCATTCATTTTCTTTTTGGCTTAGTCCCTTTAGAAATCTGGGGTCCCACAGCGGAATGAACCGCCAATTTATCCAGCATATGTTTTACACAGTGGATGCCCTTTCAGCCGCAAATGAACAGAGTGTAGCTTGCAGCACAAATATTGTATTTATGTAATTAATAGTCTTTGCGATCTGATAATATCATCTACAATGTCAGTTTTATCTGGATTCATCATGCATCACTGCTGTAACTCGATAATGTTTTTAATGTTTGCAGGTCTGGTTGAGGATTTGTTGAGAATGGGTCGACCTGTAACACGAGTGCAAGGAGCCGCCTGGGCATTATGGGAAACCTGGTCTACATGTTCAAAAGAATGTTCCAAAGGCTTCCGCACACGCAAACGCTCCTGTGCCGCACCGGATGGCAAGAGCACACCGTTCGCCTGCAGCGGAGCCCCGGTCGAGTATCAGGACTGCAACACTCAACCCTGCCCAGGTCAGACAGGACAATAATGTACATACAGACTTACACTTGACTACAGTACAAGCAGTACAATTTATATATATTTTTTCTAATTGTTTTCACAGTATTTCTTAATATAATCATTTACTGGAGAACTTCATACTTATTTTAGTTTGGCTCAAATTATTTTTTATTATTTCTTTAAATGTAAAAAACGCCTTAATTATTTCTCTCGATTGGCTACAGAACAAACCAATGAATATTAGAATATTGGTATCTTTTAAAAATAACTAATAAATAAAGTATTTTGTACTGTCATTGTGGCAAAGATAGAAGAAATTAGTTATTAAAACTATTTTATGTTTAAAAAATGTGTAAAAAAAAAACTTCTTTGTAAAACAAAACTTTGGAAATATTTGTTAAAATTAATTTAATAAAGGCTAAAAAGTTTGTCTTCAACCGTATGTGATAAATATTTTTAAATAACTGATAATAATAGTAAAAATATTAAAGAAAAAAAATTAAATGAAAAAAAAAATTTAATAGCTCCTATTTTACCCATTTTACAAGATGTAAGATAAGTCTTCAATGTTTCCAGAATATGTTTGTAAAGTTTCTACCCAAAATACCCATCAGATTATTTATTTTACCCTGCTGAATATGTGAATTTTGGGGTAAGAAGACATTGTAACAGTTTTTGATGTCTATGCCTTTAAATGCAAATGAGCTGGTTCTCTCTGCCCACCGTTACCACATGTCTGCGTTACATCAAATAGTGATGGAAAGTTCACCAAACAAGTAGTGTAATAGCGGGTGTTGTTTATCAGTGAAGGGGGCGTGGTCATGCTGGTCTTCCTGGTCTCAGTGTTCTACTTCCTGTGGTGGCGGTCATCACCAGCGCTCCCGTTCCTGCTCGAACCCTGCGCCGGCTTATTCTGGAGACATCTGCATCGGCCTGCACACAGAGGAGGCGCTCTGTAACACACACGAGTGTGAAGGTGAGGAAACACACAACAGTGATGAAATTTAAAAAAAAAGACAAAATCTCATTAAGTCATCTCGAGTAAATGTTTGTAATAAAGAAATACATTTACATATTTTTCTTACAATGCTTGTCTTTAAAATCCAGTAATTGGCCTTAAATACAGGGTTTCCACGGGGTCTTAAAAAGTCTCAAATTTAAAAATCTAAATGTAAGGCCTTAAAAAGGTCTTAAATTCGCTGTTCTATGTCTTAACTATTTTTGCACAGGTCTTATTTTTCCGATATCCGTGTAACGCTACACCTAATGCTCATTTAAATTCTTTTTTTGTTGTTGTTGCTTGGTTTTTGTGGCGTTGTAGTTCTTTATTTATGTCTTAAAAAGTCTTAAATTTGACATTATGATATCTGCAGAAACCCTGTAAATATTTTAATTGTAAAATGTAGGAAAAATAAATGCAGACAAAGCCCATCATGTGTATATTCATATAGATTTAATTTTCAATAATCACAAAAATACCTGAGCGATGAAGTCAATTTGTTGGGTGTCTTCTACACTGTGCTTTAGATTCACTCATAAAATATATTGGAATTGGTTGAATTTGTATTAGTTTGATTCACTAAAAGTAACTGATTTATAAAAGACATTTGATTGGGAATCAATGTTTTTCATTCATACCAGTATGTGTTTGACTCATTTAAAAGAACGTTCAAAAGAGTCATTTGTTCTAGAACCATTTGGACTGTACCACTTGTACTGTATGTATTGTATGCATTCAGATATGTTCAGAATCATTTGTTTAAAAATCAGCTACTCTGAACCAGTTGTGCTTTATATTATTGATTCTCTTAAAAAGAATCAGTTCACAAGAGCCATTTGTTCTAGAATCAGTCGGAGTCAATCGCTAGAAAGAACTGTCAAGTAAGAGTCGTTTATTCAGTGATTAGTTAAGTTGTATGTGTGTGTGTTTAGTTAGTTTAGTTTGGACTGTACCAGTTGTACGGGTTGTGTTTGATTTAATAAGAAAAGAAAAAAAAATCTCATTAGTGTCATTCATTTGGGGGTCTTTATTTGTTTCTGGAATCATTTAGCCTATACCAGATGTAAGATGTATGATGTTTCTAATAAATAACCAGTTTATTATGCTGTGTTCACACCAGACGCGGAACATGCGGATAAATTGCGCTATTCGCGCGTAAATAGCCACGTGAACATTTGAGTTTACTTGCTTCCTTCGTGCGTTGAAACCCACTTCATTCGCGTGTCAAATCCACTTTATTCGCGCATCAAATTCACTTTATTCGCGCATCAAATTCACTTCAGAACAGGTGCGGATTCATGTGATAGGCAGGGCTTCTGTCTGCCTGGTGTCTTTAGCTTGCTAAATGGCTAACGAGGATTTTATGAAGAAAATAACAGTGTTAATGTTCTTTATTAAGGCTGAAAAACAGCATTGATACGTTTAGGGCCATGCCTGAGTCTACTAGATCATTTCAGAGGTGCATCCAGCTCTATGAGCTCATAAAGTCCTCCAGACACTTAACCTGGATAATGGAAGCTTTCAGCGGTGCTTCTGACTGAGCCGAGCCCAGTTTGCTGAACTATTGTCGGTGTCGGCTGGAGGATTTCTCCGGGACACCAACAACAGATGCTATGTCACAATCACGCCCCCACAACAGAAAGCTCCTGATTGGTTAACGTGGCGCTTTCGCTTAAGTTCAGATTTTTGAACTTGAGCGATTCGCGCGAAATTCGCGAAAAACACAATTCGCAACGTTCCATTCACGCATATCGCGACATTCGCATGTATCGCACCGCAGGATGTCTATTTGTTCGTTTGCATTGAATTAACATGTAAATCACTCGCGTTTGATGCTCCAGCGTCTGGTGTGAACACAGCATCAGAATCATTTATTTAAGAATTGGACTTATTTAGTTGCATTAAATGTTTATAAATAAAGGGCTCTAAGGATTTCTTTCAGTAAATGACTAGACAACACTGGCTTAGTTGTGATTAACTAAAAATAACTGACACAGCACAGAAGTTTCATTTATTTTTGGAATCCCAAAATAATAGTTGCTTTGTATGTTTTTAATAAGCTACAAGAACACAGAAATTCTCTTTAACTAACACACATCCTCTTAAAATATATAAATAATAGTTATTACATGTGCTCTGTTTTTCCTTCTCTGCTGTTTCAGGTGGGTGGGGGGCGTGGTCAGAGTGGGCAGAGTGTAATGGGGAGGGGCTTCAGCTCCGGGCTCGTACATGTGAAATAAGCCCCGCCTCCTGTCTTGGAAACTCCACAGATCAGAGACAGTGTCGGCCCAATGAGAGCGCAGGTCAGTTCAGTTCAGCTCAGCTTAGTTCCCTCTTTACATTCATTTCTGATTCACAAACACTCATCCTGTTTTTAACTCTAGTGCTGTCAAAAGGACAGAAGAGGAGCACAAACTGTGGAGGTGAGTCGAAAATTTACACCACCAGACAAAGATTGGAAACTTTAGCATTTTGAATGTTTTAAAAGAAGCCAATTTTGCTCACCAAGGCTGCATTTATTTGATGAAAAATAGTTAAAGGCTGTTACATTGGAACAGCTGGAAACAGGCCGAGTTCTTGCCAACCACAGAGGAGTGGGCTGACAGAAATCCCAGGTGGGCAATTTTTTGGGGGTGGGGTTAGGAGATAGATGCACTGTAAAATTCAAATTTAAAAAAACTGAACGGAATAGCAAAAGTATTGTAATAATGTTCTTGTTTGGGCTTGTTTCACCTTCGGGTGGGGAACTTTAATGCTGTGTGGAAAATTCCACTATGGAGATTTCGCTCAGAAAGCCAATCGTCTAAAAGAGTACATAATCGGGCCAATGAAATGCCAATGAGTTGGCAGCGTCAGCTTGCGCAGCTGATGATTGTTGCAATCAATTTGGCAATATAAGCATAGCGAGAGCAAGGTGAGGCATCCTTTTCCCTTCAGAGACTTCACAGCCTCCTGAGAGAGTCAATGAGGGTTCCTCCTGCTGATCGACAGCGATTTCGAGCGAACGAGAGCGGTCTCCCAGTCCAGAGTGTGGTGCACGCGGCGGCAGATGACCGAGCTGGGTTTCTCCCTTGCCTGGCGTTTTTTGGGTTCGGTCCTCCAGAGCAGTGTGTATAGTTGCACTTTCACCTAAAAGAGCAACACAGTCGTGCAGTGCGTCCTTTTCCGGATGTCGTTCTGACTGTGCGTTTCTGGATGCGGTGGTTTGCTGTCCCCGGATGATGTACACTAGCACTGCGTTGCATGTCTGGGGGTCCAGCATGTTAATGCGGTGCTCGTGGACAGTTCATATCGTCACTGCGATGGCATGTCTGTTGTGCAATTAAGATCGCGGCTAGCCCTTGCGAAAGGGCGTACCATCCCAGCTGGCCCCTGCACTGCATCGGGCACTCGGGCAGGTCTTCGAACCCTCACGTCCCCTTCTTCCCGGAGGTGCACAGTAGGCTCACGCAGTCTTGGAGGGAACCTTTTTCTGCCCGAACTGCGTGGCCCTCTGCCCTCAGCACTCTTGACGGTGGAGCAGCCAGGGGGTGTGAGGTGATCCCACAGGTTGAGAGTGCCATTGCGGTCAATCTTTTGTCTGTGTGGCGCCTCTTCTTGGCGGGGTCCGCCTTGTCTTCCGTCCAAAGCCAGCAGGTTGTCTGCCTCCCTCTGAGCCAGAGCCTACAGAGCTGCGGGCCTGGCTGCTTCCTCCTTGCACGCTATGGCCACCTACCAGCACCAAGCACAAGCGCTGGCCCAGCTCCATGAGGGTGGTTCCGACCCAAGCTTCTTGCACGAGCTCCGCACCGCAACCGACTATGCACTTCAGACCACTTACACAGCCTTTGTGAGCAGAATATGCTCATTATAAAACATTAGCAAATCTCCAAACTTCTAACTAGTTGTGTACATCAAGCCCCTTTCAGGTTTCGATGTGGTTATTGACTGTAGATGAACATGACTTGATCTCCTGCAGGGTTTTCTCTGTTCCACCTGGTTCTGACTGGTGCATGTTGTTTTCTGGGAGCCGTTTTACTCTCCATCCTGGTCTATGTGTACTGTCAGAGACTCCGCAAACCTCCGCAAGAATCTGCAGTCATCCATCCCAGCACCCCAAACCATCTCCACTATAAAGACAACAGCTGCGCGCCCAAGAACGATTTATACACACCCATGGAGTTCAAGGTATCCCATCAGGCCACAGTGCTCTCTCTTTTTTTTAATACACAGTACTTAATTACATTTACATTCAGTCATTTAGCAGAAGCTTGTGTCCAAAGCGATATACAAATGAAGTTTATTTAGTTGTTAATTGCAGGTTTAACCAGAAACACTGATAAGTGCATATAATAAAATTGTTAGTAAAGAAAATAAATCAACTTAATCTTTTAAAGCAAAGAAGGAGAAAAGAGAAAACAATTTAAAAGTGTCATGAATAGGAAGACTTTATGCATACTATAGCAACTGTTATTAAGTGTCATTTGCTTAGCTATGTCATTTTAAATCCGAAGGTGACATTGTTTGAGATGTTGAACTTGACATAAACAAATACATCCCAACCTGTCGTTGTCATGACAACTCGACATTACCAAGACAATGTCATAAATCTGTCATGAACATATTTGTCACAAGGACTTTATAATTGTGTCATGGATATTTATATTCCAGTGGAACAAAATAAATTTGTTATTAATACCAATCATTTTATAACAACGTCATTAATATTTCACGACATTTAACGACAATTTGAATTTGTACTGCTGTAGTTACAGTCAATAAAAATTGAATGATAGTAAGCTTTCTCTCTCAGTCTCCTCTTCAGACCAAGAAATGTTATATTATTTAGTATAGACTTTGATGATTAGGTGTATATATGACCTTCCCCGAATTGTGTACATTTTGTTATTAATGTTATTTGTTTTATTATTGTTATTGTTTACTTTGTTTATTAAATTGTTATATTGTGTTTTGTTACTTTAAGTCTTTAAGTTAAATGATTGGCAGGGACAAAATGAATTGCCTTTAAGCTGAAGTATTGTATACTAATGAAAAATTATATATATATATATATATATATATATATATATATACATATACATTTTACTCAAATGCGTACCTAAAAAATCCAGAGAAACTTTTTATTCCAAAGATTCATCTAAAAAGTGCTCGGCATAAATGAGTAAATCCCTTCAGATCTCTCTTTTAAATTAATATTTTCTATAGGATGATTTACAATGACATATTTGTGTGTATAGATTAGCTCAGTACCAAAGCCAAAACTGGAAAACTTAAGACCACAGTCCAAAAATGTCTACACCCAAATTAATAAGATAGAGAAAAAATATGAAAAAAACTGTTAATAAACAGTAGAAATAAAGGAAGGGGCGACACGTTTTATAGAGAGGCCAATAATATACAGAGAGGCCAATAATATACAGAGAGGCCAATAATATACAGAGAGGCCAATAATTTAACTGTATCTATGATCTTCATTTTCATTTTGGGTAGAGGAATGACATCACAGGACCTGCAGAATGATGCAAAACACTCCGTGGCCTTTGAAATATTAAAGTTCTTTCTGTTTCTCACTATTTTTGTGCTTTCTCTCGGCCTCCCTGCAGACTCTCAATAAGAACAACCTGCTTCCACCAGATGAAAGCTGCAACTTCTTCCCATCGCCCTTACCACAGACCAACGTCTACACCACCACATATTACCCGTCTCCGCTGGGCAAATACGACTTCCCTTCAATGGATTCCCCCTGCAGCTTCATGCACAGCTGATGCGCAGAAACACACACACACTCTTTCCCCATCTCATGCTTTCTCAGGGTGAGTGACTGACTGCGCTCACACACCCTCATCAGTCCATGCAGACGCAACGCGTGGATCCGCAGGAAGGTCGAGCGCATAATCTGCATCTCATTAAATGCAGGAAAATGCGGAGGAGCGATGTTGGGATAAGACGAGCCCATGTAGATTTTTTGTTGTTGTTGTAGCATTTCCTTTCCTAAATGTCATCTCCGACTGGAAGTCACGGGTTCAGTCGTACACACGTGATGTAATAACTCACAAAAGCATGCACACTTCTTAAAGAGCGAAAGGAACTCTGGGATACTGGCTATTCAAGCCTAAAAATTGGCGCTTTGTGTTGTTTTTCGTAATAGATTGAATGCAACACAACTCGATGAAGCATCGATAAAGCATCTCACGATACGCCTGAACGTCTGTTTCTCAATTTTCTTCCTGGTTTATACTCCAGAACTCAGTGTTGGACGTGAGATACATGGAGTCGGAAGTACAGTAATGCTACTGGTTAATGTACAGTATGAAGGATCTTCAGCGTCTAATGAAAGACTCGAGCTCATATGATGTCCACACAGCGTTACACGTCTGTTCACCAGTGTGAAGATGTCTGTCAGACACTTGTTACAGGAATAATTCGAGCGAATATGACAGATCTGCCATCATTTACTCAACTTCGTGTCATCATAAACATGGATGCAGAAGCATGGAGGCAAAAGTAACTTTCTCTGTGGATTAATCGAAGTATATAATAGAGCCTTTTCACGTTTTTTTCACAACTTAGAGCGCAGTGAATGGCAGAGCACAACAATTAATGTTTTTACAATCCCATTTGCTGAAATTATGAAAGAAAAACGCTACGATTGTGTTATCAAGACTTTCAGAAAGAGGAAAAAAGTCGTGTGAGACTGATATCGGCAACCAGAAGAAAGAGTAATGTCAAATTTACTGTCCCACCCTCCATAGACGCTGAATTAGTAACACCTTGCATAAGCCATACCTGTCAACATTGGGATGTGTAAATAAGGGACATGCCCTTTAAAAAATCCCCAAATTACTGTAGATTGTAAATAGACAGTTATATGGTCACTAAATTGTTTTATTATTATTTACAAAAGAAAAAAATAAATAGAATACATTAGCAGCAAATACATTAGCCAACATTCATTCATTCATTTTCTTGTCGGCTTAGTCCGTTTATTAATCCGGGGTCGCCACAGCGGAATGAACCGCCAACTTATCCAGCAAGTTTTTACGCAGGGGATGCCCTTCCAGCTGCAACCCATCTCTAGGAAACATCCACACACACACTACGGACAATTTAGCCTACCCAATTCACCTGTACCGCATGTCTTTGGACTGTGGGGGAAACCAGAGCACCCGGAGGAAACCCACGCGAAGAACAGGGAGAACATGCAAACTCCACACAGAAACGGCAACTGAGCCGAGGATCGAACCAGCGACCCAGCGACCTTCTTGTTGTGAGGCGAATGTGCAACCCACTGCGCCACTGCGTCGCCCACATTTGCCAACAGTACAGCTTATTAAAATGAATAGCTATTATGATGAAATAGAATCAAATCTCATCAGCCGTTTGTTCACTGTATAACGTACACATTCTGATTAAAGAGCAACCAATGAATAATTTATTTAGATTTTTTTTGTTTGATTACATTATATAACAGGTGTCACTTTAAAACTGCACACATCTAACATTATAATGAAAGCATTTAACTGCTTTCCTAACTGTGTATGCTCATTTAGGACGAAATTATTTGTGTTTGAAAAAAAAACATCAAGATGAACATCTTTAGATATTATTATTATTATTATGTGTATATGTCTGTTTAAACACGCACCCAAAACCCAGACTTTTGCTCCGCTTCAAATCACGAGTACAGAGTCCGTTTGGGAAACAGCGTCTGTTTATCACTTTGAAGCGCGTCAGCTGACAGACATGCAGCGCTATGACTGTTTTGAGGATTGCATATGAAGGGGCGACGACACCTGTAATGAAAAGGAAGGGAATCACGCCGTTTTTATATTTATTTCAAACTGTTTTCGTGCCTAAACAAAGCAAAAGCACAGAACAGACTCGCATTTAAGAGCAAGGGGCGGCCCCTGGTGGTTCGGCGGAATGGGTTGCGTTTGGGAGGCTCGACTCTTTAATGTGTATTTCCACCCTTCAGAGAAACACTGAAAATCCGGGAGAAATACAGGAAAATACCTTTACGGGATCATAGCAGTATAGAACTGTAAAATACGAGAGAATCCCGGGAAAAACGGGACGGTTAACAGGTATGGCATAAGCAGTAATCCGGTTTTTGTAATTTGATGCAAAGATGATATCAAGCATACGTAAATACATATAAATATACATATTCAGTCATTTTCCTTAGACTTAGTCTTCGTTTCAAGAGTCACCACAGTGAAAGGAACCGCCAACAATTCCAGCATATGCTTACCACAGCAAATGCCCTTCCAGCTGCAACCCAGCACTTCCCTCCCCCCTCCCCTTGCAACAGCTAAGCGGGACAAAATAAACTGTGAGACTTTAGCTATGTTTCCATCCAAAAATGCGAATAAACTTCATGCGCATAACTCGATTATCGCATAAAAGTTGTGCGAATGAAGCATCGTTTCCATCCAACGAGTCAAAGCGAGCAAAATCGTCACTTCCTGATTAACTGGCGCCAAATATCAACAGTAAAAACTGCATTTGCTGCAGTAGGAGAAGCTGCATCACACTTTTCTAAATGAATGCGCCTCAGAAGACAATCCTGACAAGCAGTGAGCGCGCAGTGGCGTTTGAAGGTGTCAGACGCGGAGCACAGGCGCTCTTGATTCTGGAGGTCATTAATAATATAATAACACTAATACTGAAATGGTAAGGCGTTTTATAATGACCAAAACAACATTTCAGATGTTTTATAATGTGCTCAGCCTGACGTTTTATCCATTCACACACATTTTAAGCATCACATGATCTCTTTTAACAAAATCACATGACCTTTTTTAATGTGCATGCTGGAGTTTGTGCGGTAAAGGTGTTTTCATCGCAGTTTATGCGCATCCTTTCTTATGGAATAAAAAGTTTATCCTACTCAGTTGGGCAAATAAGTTTTTTATGCGCATTTTCAAAATTTATGCACATCATGGCGTTTCCATCAACTGGTTTTTTATGCGCATATGCAAATTGCGCATAAAATAAGTGGATGGAAACATAGCTTTTGACCAATGCGAGGAGAGTTTACTCACACGTGACTTGTTTTAGCTCTTTTAGTCTGTTTAGAAATGTGAAAGCGAACCGCACCAAGAGCAAAGAGCAACAATGTAACAATAGTAATCTCTGTTTTGGAACAACTGAATGGATCCACAGGAGTGAAAGCACCCTCAGCTGAAGGAAAATGAATGAATGTATTTCGATTTGATTCATTTAGTTTGCTTGAAGAATAGCTTCAGTGAAGAAAGTGATAAATGACATGAGGATGACTACATGATGACAGGATGTTGAATTATTTCTTTAAAGTGACTGGTATGAACAGCTCAGTGTTCTATTGAAACTAAAGGGATGTAAGTTTGTAAGTAAGCGTGTATATTTGTAGCTGCATTATATATTTATACACAGATGTTTTTGTTTTGATGGATTCAGGTATTTCTCCTGCTATAACTCACAGCAAACACAAGACAATGAGAAAAGTAACTGTTGTCTTCTGTTCACCGAGTCGTATGTAAAGTGTTCACGTTTTTCCGTCTATGTTCCCGATTAATGAAAATGTCTTCTGGAATATTTTATGCTGATTCTTTCCTTGGAGTCCGGATGAACTTTGATGCGGAATACAGTCTGGCTGTAAACAGTGTTTGCGTTGACTGGAGGACGAGCAGAGAAGACTTTTATCCGCTGATGTTGCATGGATGCAGACAGACAGACAGACAGACAGTTCTCTATGCAATGAAAACACGATCACTGCCTTTATACACTGTGAACCTTTTGCTATGTTTTGATATGTTGTACATTGTAAAAAAATAAAGAAATATCCAACTGGGTGTCTAAACACCACAATTTACCTTCTTCTGTCAAGAGTTTGGTTTACTATCTATCTATCTATCTATCTATCTATCTATCTATCTATCTATCTATCTATCTATCTATCTATCTGTCTGTCTGTCTGTCTGTCTGTCTGTCTGTCTGTCTGTCTGTCTGTCTGTCTGTCTGTCTGTCTATATATCTATCTATATATCCCTCCTTCAATCAATCAATCAATCTATCTATCTATCTATCTATCTATCTATCTATCTATCTATCTATCTATCTATCTATCTATCTATCTATCTATCTATCTATCTGTCTATCTATCTGTCTATCTGTCTGTCTGTCTGTCTATATATCTATCTATATATCCCTCCTTCAATCAATCAATCAATCTATCTATCTATCTATCTATCTATCTATCTATCTATCTATCTATCTATCTATCTATCTGTCTATCTGTCTGTCTGTCTGTCTATATATCTATCTATCTATCCCTCCTTCAATCAATCTATCTATCTATCTATCTGTCTGTCTGTCTGTCTGTCTGTCTGTCTGTCTATATATCTATCTATATATCCCTCCTTCAATCAATCTATCTATCTATCTATCTATCTATCTATCTGTCTGTCTGTCTGTCTATATATCTATCTATATATCCCTCCTTCAATCAATCAATCTATCTATCTATCTATCTATCTATCTATCTATCTATCTATCTATCTATCTATCTATCTATCTATCTATCTATCTATCTGTCTGTCTGTCTGTCTATATATCTATCTATCTATCCCTCCTTCAATCAATCAATCAATCAATCAATCTATCTATCTATCTATCTATCTATCTATCTATCTATCTATCTATCTAACACTCCATCCAAGTATCTGTTTATCAGTCCATCAATCCATCCATCCATTTTTGTTCATCCATCTTTCTATCCATCTTTATCCTTCCATCCGTCTGTCCAATAACTAATCTATCTTTTCATTTTTCTTTCCATCTATCTGTCCATCCATTATTTAATCTATCCATCAATCTCTATTTTTCATCAATCCATGTATTTTTCTATCCATTTTCTATCAATCCATCCATCTGTACATTCATTTACTCATCTGCCTGTCCATCCATCTCTCCGTTTTTTATCTGTACTTATGTGTGTTTATCCATTTCTATCTATTTTCTATCCTTTTATCCATGTGTCTGCCCATTAATTAATCTTTCCATCCATCTTTCTTTCCATGTTTCTATCCATCCCTTTGTCTGTGCATCTGTCTATCCATCTTTTTATCCATCCATCTCTCTTATTTCTGTCCTTTTCTCTATCCATCAATCTATCTGTCCATTTATCCATCCATTCATCTATCCATTCATTTACACATCTGCCTGTCCATCAATTTATCAATTCTTCTATTCACTCATCCATTTTTCTATCAGCTCGTCTATTTGTACATCCACTTTTGTTCAACAATCTCTCTATCCATTTTTATCCTTCCTTCCATCCGTCCGTCTGTTCATTGATTAATCAATTTTCCATTCATCTATCTTTCCAGTTTTCAATCCACCCGTCCATCTATCTGTTTGTGTGTCTCTCCATCCATCTTTAAAAACTATCCGTCCATCTCTCTTTGTTTCCATCCATTTACCTCTCAGCCTGTCGATCTATCTATCAGTTTTTATATCCATCCATCATTCTATCTTTTCATCCATCCATCTACATGTCTATCCATCAATTAATCCATTCATTTACCCCTCTTCCCGCCTCTCCATTTTTCTGTCCATCTATTCATGCATCTATTCTTACATCTGTTCATCCATCTGTCCATTTATCTGTGTGTTTATCCATCTCTCTTTTTTTTTACATTCATGTTTGTCCATCCATCAATCTTTCTATCCATTTTTTTATCCATCCACCCATTTACCCGTCTTCCCATCCATTCATCAAATTTTCAATCCATCTATCCCTCTCTTTTTGTAAGTCTGTCTGTTCATCAATTTTTGTTCATCCATCTTTCTATTCATTTTTGACCTGTCCATCCATTCATTTACCCATCTGCCTGTCCATCCACCTCTCCAGTTTTCTATCCATCTGTCAATCCAATTTTATATCTGTTCATCTGTTTGTTCATCCATCTTTCTTCTCATTTTTATATCCGTCTATCCATTCAA